GTTTCCTGGAAAACATTACCACAGGTAAGGACGATGTTTACACTTTAACTTTGAACCAGAAACCTTAGCCTCATCCTTCTTACTTTGTGCAGGGGGTTTTGTGCCACAGCGCTTCTTGCAGATGGAGCTAAAGAAGAGATCTATTGTGTACATCATCAGTCTGGACACGGAGTCTGTCTCAGACAGCCTGGAGTTCACAGTGTCCGACCTGCTGGGGAACACAGGGCCTCGTCACCTGTAAGAACAATACTTTAAATAAACAGTGCAGAGTTTGTCCTGTATTAACTTTGTTCTTTGCAGACTCGAGTTCAGGTGGTCCAGGGTGGAGCTGCTGCAGACCGAGACGTCAGCCTGTGAGGAGCAGGGAACGATCTCACTGGACATCGTTCGTCGGGGGAATTTGGCCGTATCGTCATATATTTCTGTCAAGGTTTGCACGTCATTCGTTACTGAAACTGAGGCGTAGTTATGATTTCTCTTATTCTAACAATGGTTAACTAAGACGTGTTATACGTATAGTTTCCACTATCAGGTGACTGTTGTTGTGAACTGGCTCTACACAAATATGACTGAGGTGAAAAGAGATTTGTGATAACTCAGCTACAGGACATTTAGCTTGTATGCAGATTGATGAACATGTGGTTCTGCAACTTGTGTCTTTATTTAGGTAAATGAGGTCACTGCAACAGCTGGAAAGGACTTCCTCACAAACCCATCTGCACTCGTCCAGTTTGATCCAGGTATGTGTTTGATAGTAGAGACAGAAGGTCTGTCTGCAGGGTCAGGCTAAAAGTCCCCGTTTATGGAGCAGAGTTTGAGTCCAGGCAATGAAAGAAGGTCATTAAAGTTCAGTGAGGATCTGTGTCAGTGTCTTTCACACTGGACGTTTGATGATAAGTGGCTGGAGGCAGCAGGCTCTCTCTGTGCACGTGTGGGCTTCCTCCGGATATACCGTCTTTCACCCACAGTCTAAAGACGAGCTTGGATCCAGTCACGTGAAAAGAACCAGTTAAACAAACATGAAAAACTAGAAATATAAATACTGAAAACTGAAAACACAGAAGTGGAAGATGAGTCACGCTAATCGTCCAAAGAAAAGGACAAACCTCAGGTCCCTATCAGACACACCCTGATGATGACGTTCTTCTAATTGTGTTGTGACTGAATTTCTTATTATTACAGCAACAGCTTAGTGCGACGTGTTAACGGTCCTCCTCAGAGTTTTGAATGAAAGCCTCGTAGAGAAGCGGTTCCCAGTAGTTTCATGTTCCTCTGGCTGCCTGTTTGTTCCCCTTATTAGTTCCACTTGTGCTACAATCAGCTGATTTCGGTTTATGTGCTGGAGGAAGAAAACAGTTTTTGTGGATTGTGTTAAAGCATAATGCAGATGTTTCCTCTTTCCTGGATGCACTTTAACATCGTGCGTTCATCCTTTTGAGCAATAAAACAAATATAATGTCTGTAACAATGTTTCTAAATCCTTCACCTAAAACAGTTTAGGAAGCTTAGGAAGTGCAGCTTCTACACTCAGTCCCTGGTTACGTTTTCTACTGTGAATGAATGATTAAATGTCTCTGTGTAAACACTGTGATGGACTGTGCACACACACACACACACACACTGTGTGTAGGAGTGTCAAAGCGAAGGTGGCAAACTGAGATTATCCAAGATCACCTCGAGGAGGCTGACGAGACTTTTGAAGTGCTGCTGGTCTCTCCTGAAAGCACCGTCATTGGCAGCACCAACAAAGCTACGCTCACCATCAGAGATTCAGCAGGAGGTAAAAATGATTATTTTGCCACACATGATGGCATTTGAGGATACACTTATCTTACCCCCGAACTAAAACCACAGGGCAGTGCAGGCTAGACCAGAATCAGGAGGCTCCTGTTCTTGGAGGACAGGAGATTCAGGCCAACACGTACCCTCAGCATGGATCCATACACCTCGAGAAACTTCCTCTTGGGACAGACTCGATCATCTGGACCCGTGGAGACAGCATCTCCAGGCCAGGAGTCCCCAAAAAGAAACTCAGAGTCAGAGGCAATGCAAAGTCAGTAAGTACATCCTGTAAGCTCTGCTGTTTGAATGTATTATATATGAAATCGCTGCAGTTGAATCTTTCTGCAGTGGCGCGTGGGTAAACTGCTGCTCTGGGTTTTTCTTTCAGATTGCACCGTCATCAGTTTTTCACAATGGAACAGACACCGTTTACACAGTAGGTAGCACTCCCCACTCCTACCAATGAGACTTCTGAAAGTTTTCACTTCTATTGCTTCTTCAATTTCAGTATCACGGCATCATCCAAATGCAAGTAGAAGACGACACCTCACCATCCAGGAAGGGCAGAAAGGCAAACATCCAGGTGGTTAGCAGGGGGGCACAACAGCATCGGTCCCACCCTCACAGAAACATCTTAAAACCTCAGAAAGCTGGCGTGGCGAAGGGACATGTGAGTACCAGCGGGTTTTCTTCCCCCTCGAACTCCATCAGCTCGGCTTTTAGGAACGCTGAATCGTTTTGTTTTGCTTGTATATCTGTTTAAAAGAAAAGGAACCAATCTGCTCATGCTGCTGCAAACTCACACTTCAATCTCCACCAAGCACTTCAGCTGGAGAACAGCTGCTCACACTCACATGTTGTTACGGCCGCTGGACCTGAAAGCACACACAGAAGTGTAACACAGAGCGAGTCGTTTATTAGGCTGAATACACGAACGCAAAACAAGGCAAAGCAACTTTGAAAACATCCTGAAACTGGACGTAACATGAAGCGAGATGGACAGACGATGTGAAATACACAGGAGGGTAATGAGGGAAGTGGAAACGCTGGGGAAACACAGCTGACACAAACCTGACGCCACACAGGAAGCAAAACTAAACACACTGAACAGGGAAACACAAGACTTTCAAAATAAAAAAGGAAACCTGGAGAGACGACACCACGAGCTTGACAAACATGAAACACATGACAGACTGCAGAGACACAAGCACAAGTTAAACACAGAGGACAGCAAAAGAAAACAAGGAAACATAGAAGAAACAAAATAGATTAAAACTCAACGAACCCCAAACTAAAAAATAATAAGAATTAAAAAATCCAAAATAAACTCAAAATGCTGGGTCACAGACGCAGACATATATGCTCTATAAAGTCCAGGCAAGCTGCAGCACTGAGTCATGTAGAGCACAGTAGAGTTTACCTTCTTGTCGTTCAGGTGTGTGCACCTTTGGCGTAGCATGATGTGCTAGCAACACGGTGGTAGCTCTGTTGCTAGTGCACATACTGGACCTTCTGTTGCTCCACGCACTGTGAAGTACGTTGCATATTATTGTGGAGCAGCACTATAATCTGTGTGAATGTTTGTGGGTCACAGACTACAGCTGGCAACCCCGTCCACAAACCCTGTGTGCCAGGACTTAGAGGCCTCCTTCATTTTAACCAAGCTACCAACGAGCTCTTTCACTGCAACGGTGTCTCCTGGAAAGCCTGGGCACCAACTGATCAGGTACTACAGCTTCACAACACCAACACAAGCCATGCACATTAACCTGTGACAACACGTGGAAACTGAAAAGCTGCAGATCTAAAATCATCTTTCCTGTTGAACAGATGGTGAGTGCTCAGATGTGTCCTCAGGGCTCCACCTTTCATGGTGGTTATTGCTACACCCTCAGTACGGAACACAAGCTGCCATGGAGTGAAGCAAACAGGGCCTGCAGGGAAAGGTACAGTTGTGTGTTCCCACAAACACGTTATGCATTACAAACACAATGAGCATGAGTGCTTCTTTTTCCTCCTAACGGCAGGTTTAGAGGAACACTGGCCAGTGTTGCGTCTCAAGCTGACATGGACTGGCTGTGGGACTTTGGTGGAAGGAAGCCTTTCTGGATCGGTACGTGTCCTGTTTTTACATGTGTGAGTAAATGCAACGGTGTCATTGGTGTCGGCTCCTCATTCGCTTGTAATGCATTCTAAATAAAAAATCACTCACTGTGTAAAAATGGACTTTCAGTTTAGTTTAATATGTAAAGTTTAAAGTGCGCTGGACACAAAGTAACTACAACCTCCACCTCATGTGACTGGAACATTCGTTAAGTTTAACGAAACATTTTTGCATCCAGTGCAAAGAATTCTAATGTGTTTAAAAAATATAATCATAGTATGTAAATAAGTAGTGAATTCAATACCAACAGCGTTGCTAGAACATTATTTTCTAACATCTGGTCTCCAAAGTATTGATTCGTTTTATTGAGGCAGAAGGTTTTGATTTTGCTCCCTGCCTGTTCTCTCCATCCTTACATGGATTCAATCCCGGTACTCCTGCTCTAGTCGTCCAGAGACGGGGTGCTGGTTTAGTTCAGTGGGCTGAGCGATCCACCGTGTGCAGCTGCTCACCCACCGAGCTAAACCCGACGCTGCACATCTGTATGTTGTGTTTGCAGGGAGCCGTCTAGCCCAGGGCCAGAGCCCCACACGGTTCTGTCCGTGCATTTTTTATGCAGAATGTAACGAGCTCATCTTCTCTGTTGCGCCAGGTCTGAACGACAGGGAGGGCCGAGGACGCTGGGAGTGGGCCGGAGGCGAGCCGGTCGGCTACACCAACTGGAGAAAAATGCCTCTTCAGCCAAAAAAGAAAGAAAGCAGAAAGTGTGTTCTGGTTTGGAGGAGGGCAAAGTGGCAAATCAGGGAGTGTAAGACGAGCAGAGGTCATCGCTTTGTCTGCTCGGTTAAAATCTGAGTTCAGCACCGTCCAGTCCAGCGCGGTCCGGCAGCAGTGAGCTGCCACTGTGCGTGACAGGCGTCGCAGGGCGAGACGGACATCAGGACATTAGACTGCAATTAATGGCAAATAATAATCAGTGTAAAGTTACTAAAACTGTTGTTTATAATAAAATTCACAACCTGTTTACAATTAACACGTGAAAAGAGAGCTTGGTGTCCAAACACAGTTCATGTTGGACTCATATTCACAGTGCAAGTGTTGCAAGTGTTGCAAGTGTTGCAAGTGTTGCAGTGAAGACGTCCTTGGGGCCTTAATCAGCTCCTCAGCCTCTGTTTGAACCACAGTTATTAAACATTCATGCGTTTTGTTCATAAGTATGTAAACGTGGGAAGATGAGCTGAATCCGTTCATTTATTTTCCTTATTAAAAGACTGACTCATGTAAATGTGCTGATATTGTATTTGTGTGCAATTATAAGTGACAGCCAGCTGCTGCTGCATTATCGACTTTATTAAACACATATTAACAGAGTTAATGTTATTGCACCAATAAAAACAGACTTTGTTTGTCACGAGCTGCTGCTGCTGTCGTTTTTCTCTTTTCAACATCATCTCTGCTGCTCCGACCCGAGCCAGCGCTGCTGTTATTGTGATTATCCGCATCATGTGATCAGCAGGCCGGGCATGAAAGGAGGCCTTTTATACGAGCTGTGAGCAGTTCTCAGAGGCTGGTATGCAGGCTACATCTGATCCTCTTCAGCTCGGTGAGTCCTGATCAAACTGAATATCTGTGCGTGCTGCTTTCACACTAACAGGCTGCTCCATCTACACCAATCAAGGCATTTAGACACATTTAGGCTTTTTTTAATGATTGCTGGTTCCTCACATGCTGAACAGTGTTGCAACAGACCAACTGAAATCATCGTTTCATGAGCTCCACATTAAATCCTTTAGCTGACATCGTTGCCGTACATTTTGTTCCCATATTGTTACTTTGAAAGGTTTTTCCTGTTGTTTCCTTTCAAACAGTGAAACGTGCTGTTGGTAGCCTACCATCTGTTTAATCTGCTTTAGTTTGACTTGATTTGTGTCTCCAGCTGTAAAATGTGTCGACTCTTCACACGTTCTGTCTTCATGCTGCGTTGCTGATTGAAGCACAAGCATGCTTTCCTTGAATCCTGCCTTCTGTAACAGCACACACATGTGTGAATATGCTCTTCACACACTGACGTTAGCTTTGTGTGAGTGTGTAATTTCCCGACTGTCCTGAGAGTCGATAATGTTCGAGGGAAAAACAACATTTCTTCCAGAAGCATCCAGACTGCTCTGCGTCACTGCTAACCAGCTGTTGCTTTGCTGTTTGATCATCTGACCTCTAATCTTGATCACTGCCAGCTGGAGGAACAGAAGACACTTCACTGCTGGGTCATGGATCATCAACCATCAGGCCAACAAAGCCATGCAGCACATTTCCAGTGGCTTTCCTTTGCGTACCAGAGCCTCACAGAGATCCCTTATGAAACCATCCTGACACAGACAGACAGCCTGCAGGTGCTGGACCTGAGCTACAACCTGCTGGACGAGTATCCTTTTGTAAAGAGCACAGCAGCGTGCCGACCCTTTGCTAAGCTGTGTTTGCTTAAAAATGCTGAATAATATCTGTGTATTGACAGTAACGCTAACTGTTACCAACTCTAACTTTAACCTGACGGCTTCTGTTCTTTAGCAAACATCTTCAAATACATGATGATCCTGCTTTGGTTTTGTAAGTGATGCACATAATCAATAAAAAGCTAACGAGTGTTGATCCGAGTTTCAGTGTAAGAGGAAACATTGGACGCTGATAAAGAGTCTGTGTAGCAATCCGCCCGACAACAGTTCATTCGTATTAATGAAGTTTTTCATGTAATCTCAGTTTGACTGTGGGCAGCAAACAGAAGGATGTCAGTTATTATTTACCCACTCCTGGACATGAGGGTCCTGTGGATCGGTGGGATGCTGTGGGGGTGTCAGAGCTCTCTTCACTGACATACAAGCCTAGTGTCCTTCACTCAGTCCTTATTGGAACCCGGCTCTGCTGGGCCGCCTGGAGAAGCTCAGCACTCTGATCCTGGACTGCAACAACTACACGTCTCATGTCAAGTTCCCCTACATGCCAAGCGTCACCACAGTGTGCATCAACAAGAACAAGATCAACAACCTGCCTGTGTTTGTGGAGGAGATCTGGAGAAAGTTCCCCAACATCAAGTGAGCTTTTTCTCTCTGATGAAGCGTCTGTGCTGGCTGTTACTGCTGCCTCATGTGTTTCTGATCCTTCTAACCGCAGGATCCTTAGCATGATGAACAACGAGGCAGCACCCAGCTACTTCAATGGAGGCAGTCTGACCCAGCACACAGACTACAGGTGAGCGTGCAGGTTGCTTTCACAGCAAGAGCTTTCTCCTGAATTTACACACAGTGTGTAAACGTCACATTATCAGTATGAGCTACATACAAACATGTGCTCCACACAGCATAATGACCTGTGTCCCTCTGTTACCACCGTTACCACATGATGTTTATAGAAACACTACATGCAAAATCTAGTCACGCTGTCTGTTGTGTACAGCGCCCCCATCTGAGTCATCAGTGCAAGAACACAAGGCCAAGACGTCCTGTGTTAGAATAAACCTTTTGTTTTCATGGCCACGGTCGGCTGCTCGGACACTTTAAACTGACGAGCACAGAACTACAGGAGGTCAGTTTAGCCGTAACACAAGCCTGTGAAATCATTAGCACGCTGTGTGTGCCTGTGTGTGTGCGTGACACCTGCAGAGGATCAGCTGCTGTGGGCGCCTCGCTAACTTCAGCTTTTAGAAACAGCTATGGTTTGAAATATTCCTCTACGGGCCAACATGTGCAGACAGACGCATGAAACACGTCAGCCTTTAAAAACTGTGTCAATAAAAATAGAAACACATGTTTTCACAGTACAACAGAAAAACATACAGTTTTAAGATAAACAGTAAACACGTGGTATCCAAGGAAACCAGACGAACGCTGTCTGATGGCTGACCACAGAACAGCTTCCTGCTCCGTGTTAATGATGCCTGAAGAACACAGCAATGACTCTGCATGCTCACATGAACAGCAGAGCCTTCTTTGCACCACGATCGTCAGTCTGCATCTGTCGGCTGTTCCTGTGTCTCACAGTCGTGCATCAGTGTTGGCTGTTGGCCCTCGTGCACAGATTTTTCCATGTCCTTGAAATCTTTTCATACTGTGTGCTGTAGATTTTCCCTCTTCCATCATGTTGTGCTACTGTTGTCAGTGAACAGCTGCACACAGCTTGTCCAGCTGTTTCTTCTTACTATCACTTCTCAGCCACCTGCTGCCCTGTTCCAACTGTTGAAAACCAAACAGAGAAAAACAGTAAAATGTCTCAGTTTGAACTGTTTTCTGTGTTTTCTGATGTGTTTATGAGATTTGCAAACCACTGTCGTTGTGTTTATACGTAAGCCCATCTTTGGAATGACTCAAACCAAAACAGTCCGAACATGTAAATGTTTTGTGGACATTACAAAGACATTGTGCCTGTGACAGTGCTCAGCATGTGTATTATAATACCAGTGCTGTTCAAATGGTTTTGATGGGAACACCACCCACTTGTGTGGAGGCATATCTATGGTCATCCACACACAGATGTCTAACTGCCTGGTCGGTGTTGGCATGAGTTTCTTGGAGTCATTGTCAGACAGTGGGCAGTGGGCCCTGGATACTTCCTGGTGCACAGCAGCACCTGTCATCACGTGTCAAAAGTATGCAGGTAGTTCCTGGAGATTGAAGGAACTGATCTGACGGCCACCTGACCTGCATCCAGTGGAACATCTCCCATTTAAGAAACTTTAAACTTGTAAGACGAACCAGAATGTTTTGTTTTAAACTGTCACGGTTTACTACAAGTTTAAACAGAGACAGCACAGCTGTGATGATTTAAAAGGTTATGAATCAACACAGTCGGTGTGCTTTTTCTCTACGAGTCTATCCGCGGTGCATTCACCCATCTGGCCCTGTTCTTGCTTTGCCTCTTCAGACTCTATGTGATCAGTCAGCTTCCAGGTCTGGAGATTCTGGATGACACGGAGGTCCTGGAGAAGGAGAGAGCCCAGGCTCGGAAAACCTACCGGCTACAGCAGAGCGGTCACAGCAGCAGAAAACGGAGAGAGGACTCATCCAAGAAGCACACTCGCATTCAGAAAAAGCCCAGCAGCATCATGAAATAAAGACTGTGTCGCCCGTGTTCATGTTATAATTGTGCGTTCTTTGTCTGCTTGTATTAACATTCATCTAAAGCTGTGGTTTGTGGTCATGTATGTCTGCTGGGCTTCATCTGAAAAACAATCAATAATTAACAGGAAGTGCAGCGAGTAGCTCTGAATGCAGAGCACCTGTTTTACTGAATGAATAATAAAGCAGCCAGAGCCTCTTATCACCTGTAATGTTTCCATCATCAGCTTTCACACAGGTGCTCTCACATGTTCCTCCATCTGCTGACAGAAACGTGTTCCTTTTGTTTTTGAGCAGTGCATCAAAATCCTCGTGTGCAATAAAACGCATCATAAGTTTAATGACGTGCATTTTTTAACAACACTAAATCGACTTTGTCTGCTCGGTCACCAGCGTCAGAGCTGCAGCAGGCAGGACTCCGAATGACTCCAATCATGATGTTTGTGATTGTGGAGATCAGAACACTCTCAGATCAATGTTGTTCTGCATACTGATCTCAGTCTCTTTGCATCAGACACAGGAAGAGGGAGTGAAGTTGTGTCTGCATGTGTTACAGTCGGTATTTTCAGCAGGAGGCACCACTGTCAAACTCACACGTCTGGTAGTTTCCCAGAGAAAAGAACGACACCAAACGTTAATTGAATCAACAAACCTTGAACTTTTCTTCGCTGTGTGAAGCACAGCCTGTGTTTCTTTAGAAAATCGAACCATCTGATTGGCTCACCCTGCACTCACACACGCCGGCCTCCTACTGCGAGCTCTGTTTGGTCAGAAACCCGACTCTTCATGGTCGATGCTTTGCAGTGAGACCTTTGTTTCACATGACTTCTCGTTTCTCTGTTCTGTGTTTTGCTCTCTCGGTTCCTTCCTGTGCTTCAGCTGACACCCTCAGTGTGTTTCTGCAGCTCTCAGTATGACACGTTCCCTCAGTCTCCCAGCATGTGGTCCTGCATGCTTATACTGAAGGAGCCGTGACATTTGTGTCACTACATGCTAGCAGTTACAGACATGTTATTTGTTTCCACGTTTCAAAGATCAAAGTGTTGTTAGAACGTCTCACGTCTGTGTGAAACAGACAGTGCAGGTGACCTGACAGCGCACGCTAGCATTAATGATGCCCACAGACCACATATGATAGCAAGTCAGGAGCATATGTGATGTGTTAGCTTCCATATCTAGTTCACTTACGTCAGCTGCACAGGCTCGGCTAAGGTTGGGACACTGCGACTAAGCCCTGTGGATACGTCTTCACATATGCGCTGACAGAACCTCTGGACAGATGTGCAGCCCCACTGAGCATGCTGTAGTTCTGAGCAGCGTTTGGAACAGGTGCAGATATCTGTGCTCTGTGCACAAAGTTGTATAAGTTGTGGCTTTTAGTCATTTTGAAGGCATTCAGAATCCAATTATTCCTGTATGATCGATTTGTGTTGCTGTCAGAGTTTCCCCTGAGACTGATGAACAGAAGCTCACTCAGGAACGAGGTCACACAGAGCTCAGGTTTTCACTCGTGAGGGGAAGCAGTTGATCTCCAACCCACTTCAGCTTGCTTTCCCCCTGCAGGCTGTTTGTATTGGTTACACACATGAACATTCATAAAGCTTGATGCTGTATCACCTATGAGAAATTCCTATAACTGGGTACAAAGCGTGATTGTGCGAGCATGGTTATACAATGTGTGGTTACATGATGGGAGTGCAGCTCTCCCAGATTGTTGTCGGTAGAATCTGTTCGTCTCAAGGCTGCTTGTTGCCCTTATCGAGGTCGTGCACGCAGTCATGTGTGTGGGTTACCTAGCAAACAGAAGCACTCACAACACATGCATCAAACCTGACATTCACCTTTGCTGACTCTATCTTTTCATATAAACTTTCCGTCTTGTACAACATGTTCTAGATTTCTTTTGGATCTAATGCTGATGTGTTCAAAAATATAGACATAAATACTCTTAAAAAGGGGAACTGGGCTGGTTGCTGACTGCGTCATCTTTATATCCTTTATTTCCACGATGTTCTTCTTGCTATCAGTGCCACGTTTGGGCTTCGTCTACACGACATGATTGTTTATTCCCTGAACAAACTGTAAAGGTCATATTTGAACCCTTCACTCATTACAACAGGAGGATTTTCGACATTGAGACCACTTGTCCTGTATTCAGATGGCTGTGCTGAGGTCTGAGGTCAGAGAGTCACCAAATGTGAAATATAAACCAAATATCTTTAAATGGTAAAAGTTTCCTGTTTTAGTGGAACACAATACTTCACTCTGAGAGCGACTTCTCTACACTAGCTTTCTGTTCTCAAATACATGTTTTTGTTTGTATTTGGTGTAACTTTTGTTAGTCTCTACCTCTGCATTGATCTTTGCACTTGTCTAAATGAGGAGGACACGAGATGAATAAAGATTATTTAAATAAATAATTCAGTGTACAGGAATTCATCAAACTGGTTGCAGGAATGAAGTTTTTCTCACACAGGATGTTGCTGCCTTTCTGATTAATAGCTGAATTAGACAGCTGGTTAGGTTATTAAAAACGGAGTTGTTATGTTGGTAGTGGACAGGAAGCAGACTTCGTCCTCTGCACTGCACAGATTATTCCCTTTGTTTTTCCTGTCTTGTCAGACATGCAGTGGTGTAGCATGGTGCCCCTAACAGTGCAGAATGCTGCACATGCGCTGCAGTGACACGGGGCTGTAGTTTATACAAACATAGTGTTTCTGCACCGTGTGCCCAGCACAGCCTTCAACAGAGCGCGGCCGGGGAGGAGATCCCACAGCACTGCTAAACAAGGACAGGCTGTGAGCACGGCACGGCACGGCCTCACAGCTGACCGGGTCCTCATCTGTCCCCAGTGTGACTACAGCAAACCTCAACCACACGACACGGACACACGCACACTCAAGACTTCTGTATCAGTTCAGCGCTCCGGCGAGCTGCACGAGTCGTAACTGTACCGGAAACTGAGTGAATCCCCTTCAAAATAAGGCTTTGTAAGGCTAAGCTTATGCGAAGTATGTTAGCATGGAAATGTAGTACATGCGATTAAAAAACGTTTATGGTGGATTAGCACTTCTGTTACTGTACGACCACAGTAACAGAGAAACAGACTTAAACTAAGCACATTTACTTTGATTTTTAGTTTTGAAGGTACGATTTCAGCTCAGCTGCCGTTTTATTGGAAGATTTCACTTCGATTCCGTTTTATTTAATTTTGTTTGTAACGCCAAATCACAACAGCAGTGACGTCATGTTGCTTCCCATTATAAAGACCAATAACAGGCCGCATTAGAGTGATCTCTCTGCCTGCTCGGACCCCTGCTCAACACACCGCACTGCTACATCACAACACTCCCGATCAGGGGTCAAACACGAAGCCTGCCTCAGGATCAGGTTCAGCAGTAACAAGGACGCGGGCGCATCTTTCCAGAGCAGTTTGTGGTCGTAGTTAAACGTAAATGATGAATTCAGAGACGCGCGTCCTGCCGCACTGATAGCGCTGCCAGCTCTGCTGCCCTCTGCACCCAGTGCAGCTGCTCAGTTTTTCCTTATAATGAATAATAATGAACCTCGGCTCAAATAACAGGTTCACCTCACACGTCCTGTATTTGGTGCTGCCTTGTGTTGGAGTTAGAGACTGCGCTTTGGCAGTGCGGCGGCGGTTCAAATGGTGGACACAATGACCTCTTAGAAGTGTTACGTCACAGCCTCGGTGTTTCCGTTTGAAAGCGCTGACCGGAAACTCGCTGTGACTGCGCGTAACTTGACGCAGGTGCCTGTCAAAGCGCCGTTCCGCTCGGTGTTTCGCAGAAACGCCGGCTGCCGTCGCCCTCCTCGGGCATCGCGCTCTCCTGCCTCATCGACCCTTTACGCGTGGAACATATGAAGGCGCGCTCTCGGCTCTAAAATGCTATTTTTAAACGTGACCTTGCGTCGAAGGACTGAACGCCGGCTCGTGTCAGTCCTGAAGGATTTCTTCGTGCCCGCAGCGCACTGCAACACACCGGCAGCTGAATGAATAGAAGCCGGGCCGTGGAGACTCGCTGCAGCAAACAGGACGGTGCTGATGAACAACACGGCCTACAT